ATAAGTAGGTAGTCTGTTTCCAATTCTGGGCAACCACCCAGTCTTAATGGCATATGGTTTACCTCCCCACTGGGCCTACTCTTAACACCCACCACCTCCCTCACCAATGCATGGGTTTAGAGCTTTAGTTAGCCCACCCTCACAGAGTCTTTTGGTGCTTCCTAAGCCCACACTGCTTCTGCCCCAGGCAGAATCCACAACTGTTCCTCTTTCCCTTTCAGAAGGTTGTCAGTAGCCTCCCCAACACCCCTACAGCTACCCCATGCCTTGTAGTACAATTAAGCAAAAAGCTGCCTTCATAACACAAAACCTAGTCTCTCAAGTCCATCCTTTCAGGGTGCCTTCCCCCTGTCTGGGCTCTCTCACTGCCTCAGTGGTCCTCTTAGGAGCTCTTTCTGTCTTTGTGATCAGAATCAGACTGCTCAGTGAGCTCCAAGAGCTTATTTTAAATTATGGCTATCCCTTTCAGTCAATATGCAAATCAGTTTGGCTCTTAAAAGACTTGCTCTCATGTTCCCACATCTACAGTAATGGGGTCGGGGACTTGTTACAGGTCCCACTTTTTTACAACTTCACATGCTCCTACCACAAGAAAAGGGAGGAATGACAGCCCAACTATAAAACAGTATGGGACTTTTTCTTTCCTGTGGTTTTGTTTCCCCTTATCTGTCCTTTCAGCTTGTCAGAGTGATGCAGCACCAGGGAGTTCAAAGGAAACAACTTTTTCTTATTATCTGCAGGCTATGGCTCCCTGGGTATGATGACCAGTGTGCTGATTTGCCCAGATGGCAAGACAGTAGAAGCAGAAGCTGCTCATGGAACGGTTACTCGTCATTATCGCCTGCACCAGAAAGGTCAAGAAACCTCCACCAATCCCATTGGTAAGACGGCTTGTGCTTTTCTGAATTGTCTCTACCTCTGAAAGACTCAATGCCAGTTGTCTTGTGTCTACAAGTTCCTACACTGCAGGGTAACATATGTACTAGTTATAAAGTGGTTGCACCTAGTGTCAGTGTGCTTCTGTGGACTCAAATGTATACAGATAATCCTGTTGCCTGTGTGCCAGGTGGGGAGGAGACACTGGGGAGCGCACAGGGTGCATTGGTGCTCTGTTAATTTGGACAGCAGCATTAAAGCACCAGAACCCTTAGTGTAGGCACAGTTCTCCCAGCAGGGGAGAATCTTTTGCCATTTAGTTACACCAGCCTCCCACAACAAAAGCTTTTCTGGGAAAAGGCCTCTCTTCCCAGGAGAGCTTCATCCACCCCTTGGGTTTTGCTAGCAGAGCCATGTCAGCTCTAGGCTGTGAACTTTTGGACGCAGCTCTGCCAGCAGCATTTTGCAGTGTAGACAAGGGCTGGAACTGGGCAAAGAGCAATGGACTATACAGTGCAAGCTATGGAATGTTCCCTCATTCCCGTATAATACTACACTAGTGGCCTTATGTGGTTTCTTCTCCTCACCCCCCTTGCAAATAAAAGTGCAAACAAGCATGGTATAAAATTATGATATAAAACATCATCTGCAACTACATAATAGTACTCCCCCATAAGATGTTGTAATACTTGCCAAGATTTAGTCTGATCATTTGGGAGAGTGGAGTAGTTAATTTCACGCAACTTCATTATTGCTCTGTTTCTTGTGTGCCACAAAAAGTAGCAAAATAGATACTGTTTCTTAAAAAGAAACATTTATTAAGAAAGCTACATGAGGTACAAAAAATATAGGAGGAATTGGCTTATATACTTTCACCTTCCCACACCAGATGTTGATGGGAAACTCAGCTTTTTTTAATTAACTTTAATCAATCTTCCATTTCCTAGTTGGGCAACAAAGCACTTGTTTATATTTCATTGTGACCACATAGAAAATTGCAGCTCTGTTTCATTGTTTCTCTAGTATATTGTCTCTCTCGCTCTCTCTCTCTCTTAGCCTCCATTTTTGCGTGGACTAGAGGACTAGCTCACAGAGCTAAACTGGATAAAAATACTGACCTCAAGAACTTTGCCACTGCCTTGGAAGAGGTCTGTGTAGAGACTATAGAAGCTGGTTTCATGACAAAGGATCTAGCTGCCTGCATTAAAGGCTTGCCTAAGTAAGTACATGACTATGCTGAAACCTAGCGGTGGCACAGCTCTTACCTACTGTAGGATAGTGGTCTATTTTAAATGTAACTTTAGTAGGATTTACGTTTCAGTAACATCTAGGAATCCCAGTCACAGACCAGGACCCAGCAGTGCTTTGCAGTGTATAGACATCTAATAAAACAGCTACAGCCTTAACAGGTGCCTATACACGTGCTCCGACATGTTCTAATTAGAACGCATCAGAGCAATCTGCTCTGCATTCTAATTAGAATGACCTAGCATTGCATATATAAGTCCCTGCGGGTTTAAAAATGGCTACTGAGGTGCTTTAACTAAAGCTTCTTTAATGATCTTTTAGTTGAAGTGTGCCATGGGGGCTTAATACATGTGATGCTGCAGCATTTTAATTAAAGTGGCTCTCTGGAAACTGCTCTAATTAAAACACCCCCACCCCCGAGCACACGTATAGGCACTCAAAATATCTCAGGTTCTGAGCTGACCCATCCGTACCATCTTGCCAAATAGTGTTGGGATGCAGGTTAACTGACTTTGGTTAACCTGCCTGACTTTGGTTAGCCAAACCTGACTTTGAAACTGTGACAGTTGTTACATTTAAACTCATATTTATTAAATACAGTGTTTTAAACTCTTACCTCAAGTTTACAGAAAATCCATCAACTAATTATTTCTCACTGCTTTGCCCTTAACTTGCCCTTCTGTGGAAAACAGGATCACTTACTGAGAGCATTTGGATGATCTTGCAAACAAAAAAGAAGCTGCACCCAGACCTCTTGCTCACTTCCCAGCCTACACATAACAGTACAGAATTAATGCATTCAGTTTAATTTGAGTTGAGCATTAACTTTTTCCACAAGTAACTCAAGAGAAACTTGCACAATACTGTTGTAGGCAAATTGTACACTCTTGCATTTTCCACATCTGTTGGAATATCTAGACCAAGTGTTTAGTCTTTTTTTTTTTTCCCCTTCCTTTCTTTAAACTGATGCAAATCAGACCCAGATTTGCAATTCTTCCAAGGATGGGTGAGAGCTGCCTCAGGGGAGCATGTTAGTTTACTGACAAATCAGTCGGTTAATGCCTAATTTACCAAAAGTGGCATTTGTGTGTGCATATGTATGTATAACAGCCAAAGATCCAGTTAGTATGTATGAAGGGGTGTGTGCACATGTTCGCATGCAACTGTCAAAGATCCAGATAGTGTGTGTGCGTATATGCAAAAGATCCAGTTAGCATATGTGTGCATGAGTAACTGTCAAAGATCCAGTTAGCCCAGGGGTGGGCAAAATGCAGCCCGCAAGCTGAATCTAACCTGCAGTACCCATGAACTAATTGTATCCCGCCCAGCCCTTCTGCCCACAAGGGTGGGAGTGAGGTGCCCACATATACACACACCCCAACATAATCTGTTGCTCCTTGCTCCCACGCTCATGGGCAGAAGGGCATCCAGGACTAAGCTTCCAGGCGGGGCTGCTGCCCCTGCAACCACTGAGGTACCTGCTTGGCTTGCCCAGTGTCCCGCTTACTCTGGGCCACAGGTAGGGAAGCAGCGGTGGTGGAGAGAGCTGCAGCTGAGTGGGAGGGCAGAGAATGGGGCTGGGGCTGGTGGCTGCATTCACGCCCAGGGGGGTAGCAGCAGCACAAAGCTGGGGGGGAAGGCACCCTTCCACATTGTGCACAGGCCCTGCCAACAGCAGCAGCAGCAACAGGCAGGGGGGGCTCAAGGCACATGTACCTGGCACAGGCACTGCCACCCAGTGGCGTGTAGCATGCAGCTCCAGCCAGTGCTGCACATGGCTGTGCTCCTCACCCCCTCAGGCGGACCACTCCTCTTGCCAGGCATTCCTGCTACATATGTGCAGCTCCCACACTCGCACGCCTCTGGGGGAAGCCCCATGCTGGAGTCGGCTGCTTTCCCCACCCCCTGCTGTGCAGGTACCTGGGACGCTGGGGAAGTAGGGGCTTCTTCCAGTGGAGTCCTGGGACCTGCATGGCGGGGGCTGAGGAAGACCAGGTGGCTCCAGTGCAGGGATTCATCTGGTGGTGCGCAAGTGCAGGACCTGCACATGCACAGTGGGGAGCCCTTGCGATGGAGGTGACCCGGCTGGGCTGGGCTTCTCACCCCTGTGTGCAGTGCTGGCCAGAGCTACATGCCAGGCAGCAGCACCTGCACTGGCCACAAGGGCCCTCACCTTGCTGCTGCTGGCAGGGCCTGTGTGCCATGGGTGGAATGTGGGGGGGTATTCACACCCCACACTCATACCTTGTCCCCACATACCCTGTTGTCCCCCCACACACACACAGAGCAACACTCCCCCACACTGCACCACATGCGCACACACACACACTCCCCTTCCCCTCCCCACACTGTCAAAGATCCAGTTAGCATATGGGGGGTGAGGGTGTGTGTGTGTATGTGTAACTGCCAAAGATCCAGTTAATGTGCATGTGTAACTAGTCCTTGTGTTGACCACAAACTGCATGTGACTGGAGGGCTTCTGGCAATGTGGTGGGACTACTTGTGGTGGGGTAGCTCCTATAAAATACCACAGTACCACAACCTCCAGAGTAAGGTGAAATTAGGGTACCTCAGAACACTAGCCACCACTGCTTTGTGGGTGTTCCTTGGATGGAGAGGGCTAAGGAACATCACCCTGACAAACACGCCCTCACTAAGGTGTTGGGCAGTCAGCAACAACTTTATTCTCTTGTGCTGGCAGAAACTACAGCCATCGAGGCACTGAATGTCTGGACTTGGTCTGGCCTTCAGACTCTGTCTCAGTGGTCTAAAGGTGGGTGGTAGGCCTAGGGCAGCCTCTACACCTTCATACTCTTGCCTAGGTGTACACACTGAAGGTCTTAGTGTGATCTGTATTGGCCAGAATGACAGAGTGACTCGCATGCTGGCATGTTTGGTCTCTGACCCCTGGGTTTGATTCAGGCTTATGGGAAAACAGCACTACTAAATTATGATTGGTTAGACTCAGAATTGACATTGCTGCATTATCAGAAACTCAGCTCTCAGATACAGGTTCTATCCAAGAGAACAATTACACCATGTTCTGGCATGGGAAACCAGGAAGAGAAAGGAGAGAGCAGGGACTAGGCTTTGCTATTAGAGACAGCTTATTGTCCTTCTGTGAAGCCCCATTGCTGTATCTGTTCAACTCGTGATGCTTGGAGTGCATACACAGAATAGCTTCTTTGCGTTATTTAGTGTCTGTATGTCTGTTCTTCAAGCTAGCAATGAAGACAAGAATGTTTTCTACTAGCAACTTGAAGAAGAAGTTGAGACAACTCCTAGAAATGTGGCTGTTATAATACTTGTGACTTTAATGCAAGAGTTGGATGTAGTTTTATAAATTGTCCTGGTATTCTGAGCAAACACAGAATTGGTAATATAAACGAAGATGGCCAATGAGTGTTAAAACTTTGTTCAAGGCAATCTATGCATTACCAACACCTGCTTTGCTGGGAAAATCACAAGAAAAACATTGTAGAAACATCCAAGATCAAGGCACAGGCACCAGTTAGATTTAGTACTGACCAGGCATAACTACCTGAAACAAATCCTGCATACAAGCTCTTGTCACATTACTGTGATACTGATCATGCTTTAATATGCTGCAAAGTTAGAATCAGTGTCTAAAAGATCCACCATAGCAAAACTACCAGTCATCCTCAAATAAACATTAGCCAAAATAAAGATATAATAAAACATAAACTATTCAATGAAGAAGTTATTGTGAAAGCAAGTTTACCTAACAACTTGACCACCCTAGTTTGGGAAAGCTCAAAAAGTAAACATGTACAATGCTGTTATAACAGTGTTTGGCAAAAAATGCAAGAAAAATGCAGGCTGGTTTGAAGAGTACTCTGAAACCCTTCTGCCACCAGTTGAGAACAAAAGGATAGTGCTAACCAACTATAAGGAATCAACCAACACCATAACCCTAGAAAGTCTGAGAACGGCTTGAAGAGAAATACAGAAGGAGGCTAAGAGGTGTGCCCAAAATGTTTGGCTGAAACTGTGAAGATATTCAGAAAGCAGCTAATGCAAGTGATAGCTTTGGAACGTACGAAGACATTAAATGAGCAACTGGTCCAGTCAAGAAGAAAATAGCTCCATTGCAAGTCTTAGACGGAAATGCTATTTCTGACAAACAAAAACAACTTCAGCGTTGGATTCAACACTGGAATTTACATACTCCAGTATGACTGAAATCAAACATGAGGAGCTTGAAGGATTACCACAGTTTGAAGTTAGGATGGATTTAGATGATGAGCTTACATTAGAAGATCTCCTGAAAGCCATTAAAACAATTTCTAGGAAAAAGGCATCCAGCAATAACTGTTTGCCTGCTGAAATATATAAATATGCCAACAATGATGAAAGCGCCATGAAATTATATTGCTCTGTTGGAAGTTGGGGTCATATCACTCTAGCCAAATATCTGTCCAGCCTCCTCCTTGAAGACCCCCAAGGTAGGAGAGAGCACCACCTCACTTGGGTGCCCGTTCCAGAGCCTGGCAGCCCTCACTGTTAAGTTATGTCTTCTGATGTCCAGCTTGAGCCTTCTCTCTAATGAGGTTCTCTGACATCCACTCTCTCTGCCCCAACAGGAGGGGTTTGAGTCCTTTGACATCAACAATGGAGTGAAACAGTGGGGGCGGTGTCTTAACTTTTGTGCTTTTTAATATCTGTTTTTCATTCCTGCTTCTTCATGCATTCAAGGCCATTGTCGCTGTCATTTTATTTTCAAACCAGACTAGATGGAGACTTGTTCAACATTGCAAGGTTTAGAGTGAAAACTAAAGAGAAAAAACTGGTTCTGAGAGATTTCCTGTTCGTGGATGATGTGGCCTTGGCTGCCCAGTGAATCTTCTCTGCAAAATCTCTTGCAATTAGTCTCAAGAAGACTAGTCAGGTACCAAAGGGTGAAAGAACCAATGAGATCACTCTGGAGGATAAATCTCTTGGTGTTGACAGTCTTGCTACTTGGGTTCTATGATCAGTAGGAATCTTGACCTTCAGACTAAGCTGACTAACAGAAATGGAAAAGCAGATACAAATTTTGGGCTGTTACAGAAACTTGCATGGAATAACAGCAAACTATCATCTAAAGTGAAGATACCAGTCTATGAGACTTTTGTGCTGTCATTCCTGCTTTATGGTTCAGAAATGTGGACTATATTATGCTAGGCATGTCAAGAGGCTGAAAAGCCTCCACATGAGTTGATTGTATAAGATCCTGAATATAAAGTGGGATGAGAGAATACTAAACAGAGGTATTAGAGCACGCAGGACTGACACACTTAGAAACCACTCTCAAGAAGAGGCGATTGTGTTGGATCAGTCATGTCAGGAGAATGGGAGAAGACTTTTCTCAAGAATATTTTGTACAGTGAGATTCAAGACTGCTATAGAAAGCAGGGTGGCTCTGTATGGTGGTACAACAATGTATACAAAAATGATATGAAGTCATTCAGCATCAACGTAGAAAGCTGGGAGGAGTGCAAAGAATTCTGTTCCATTCAGTCTAAAGCGGAGGTCAGCAGCCTTTTTCTGGTGGCCGGCTAAAACGATCCAGCTAGGTTCTGAGGCAGGCTAGTATGAAGACCCAGGCACTACAGCCACCACTCTGCCCAGCCACCAAAGCCAGATCCAGTGACTCTGCAAGCCAGTTCTGGCCTACAGGCCATATAGGTTGTCAACCCCGGTCTAATATTAAAATGAATAGGCTGTTCAGGACTATTGATTTGAATCAATGCAGGCCTTCAAGTTTGAGTCTAGAGGTAAAGTAGATAAAAGTACTTGCATTTAAAGTTTTAGACAATGCCATCTGTGCTCTAGGGATCTAAAAAGTCCAGGTCATTTTTCATAGGATTACCCTTCCCCTTTTTGCTGATGCTCTGCACAATATGTAGTTATCTGCTTGTTTCATCCACCCAGTGGTTGCTGCTTTCAGTGCATTTCTGCCTGCATGTCTTATGTGAAATGTTCTCTGATCCTTCTCTGGGAAAAATAATATGCTGCATATCTTTTTTCCTCTTGGAAAATGACTTCTAGACTCTAGAGACTTTAGTTGGTTGCTTTTGGATTTTATTTTAAATGACTCATGAAGGCAGACACAAGCAATCTATTAATTAGCAGTGAAATCTACCTTTTGTGCAGAGGGCTACATTTCACGGGCTCTGCTTAAAACCTCTTGAAGTGCCTTTCCACAGAAGTAAACATTACCTTTACACTAGAGGTGCACAATTAGACCAGTGGGCGGCTTCAATTCTTTTAATAAAGCAGTTTATTAAATGAAAAAGGATCTGAACAGTCAAACAACAAAGCCTGGTTGCACAGCAGTTCATTAATGGGTACATGCATGCTTCAGTTTCCTGTTTGCAAATGCACCAAGAGCTTATCTCATCAGAGCAGATCCCCCTTGGATCCACTGGAAAGTGGCCCTCATAAGCAGCCTTCATTAAATTTATACAGATCTAAGTAAATCGGCATTCAAAGCAGCTGCAGAAAGTGGCCTAACTCTAAGTTTGTACAACATTTATCTTATATTTTGCTGCCTGGTTGCATTAAGGTGCTTTATTTATTTATTTATTTATTTATTTATTTATCTCTTCCCCACCCCCCCTCTAGTGTGACACGTTCTGACTACCTGAGCACATTTGAGTTCATGGACAAGCTTGCTGAAAACTTGAAACTGAAACTAGCCTCTGCAGCGAAACTCTAAGGTCCTGCCTTGAGAAGAGCTCCACAACGAAGCTTGTTCTCTTTGGGGAACTGGTTTACACTCTGTGTAACATTTCAAACCTCTAGAAGAAATCAACATTAGAAATTTTTTTAATGAAACTTAAACTTGTATCTTTTAACTTTTAGACTGCCTGGATGGCTCTATTTGGCCAACCAAATGAATGCAGTAGGGCATCTAAAGCATTCCTAGCAGGCTAGAGGTTATTTTTTTCATGATTTCTCGTTCACTGTTGCCTCTTTTCTCATCCGTCTCACTTCCAGACCAAAAAATGTTGTGTTTAAACAACTGGTTAAATAAGAAGTTAATGTACAACAGACCGTAGAAACTGGAAAAGTCTCACTGCTCCAGCACCATCTACTGACTGACTGAACAACCTCACTGGCTTGTAGCAGCTATAGAGTAAACCCCTTCCTGTTGGTCTGATTGTATTTGTTAATGACAGCCAGGACACAGTAGCCTGGTAATGAAGGGTTCCTTAAATCAGGGCTATAGCTTTGATGAGGCACTTAATAAACATAGTCTTCTCAGTTCTGCATCAGACAGAAGTCTGATAAAGCTATAATGCAGTCTGTGTAGATGCAGGCCCAGTATTTGGTTTATACCCTTTTTCCTCTGTCAAGTACAAGAATTGTTACCTCTGGCAGTTCCTGTGTGTTTCACTCGAGCTGTTTCCTCCCAGTAACTGATTTATTTTCTACTCATTCTCCGTTATCGTTGTGACTCTGATATTCAGCATTATGATTTACTGTGGAACACTATCCATCCATTGTTGAGTTTTTTATTTTGGAAGGCTTTTTAGTACAAACTAAAATACAACCAGAACTAATGTCTGATTGTGTCTGTTCTTGTGTGTGAGCATGAGGGGTAGGAATCATCAATGTTAGTGGCATCACTGCATTCTGCTTATTGAAGTCTGCCTTAGCATTAAGAAAGAGCTGGAATTAAGGTTATTTCATAGCCATTTTAAATAAGACATTTTATTAGTAACAGAGTTTGCCTATTACAAACTGTCCTTTTTAGTTTAATGGAAATCGTAAAAAATGTCATCTCTTATTGCAAGAAAAATTACTGGAGACCAATCCACGCAGTATTGACCTGGAGAAGCAGTAATATGAAACAGTACTCCATCTGCTACTTACTTTCTGTAATGCCTTTTTTTTTCTACAAAAGGAATGCAGCACACCATCTAGATTTCCCTAAGGATTAGGTTAATACTAGCTGTTGCGGTGTGAAGTTGCTGACTGTGTGCATTGAACATTCAGCCAATTAAATGCAGAAAAATTAAGACAACCATTTTAAAGCTAAGTCCCCTGATTCCTGCTTAGCTAATGACCAAGTAAGGAGTTAGCAGCTCAAATCCCATCTCAAGTCACAGCAGTGTCAAGTTAAACACTCTGTCTAAATTAAAAACATAACATTCCTGGCAGACTTACCTTGCAACAACCCAATCAATTAAGGAAGGCAGGTAAGCTGTGGAATTCAAGGCATGTTAGCACTTAGGCCTTATAGGCTTAGGCTCAAACTCATTATGCCTTTACCCCCTGGAGTTTGCCATGATTAGGGCAAAATCTTAATATTATATAGCAGGTTGTGTGCAATAGACCTACATACATTGCTGTGATATTGGGGGTCTCTGTTGCCACTCATGCCACCCCATAGGTGGGGCAGAGTCGACCAGGGTAGCCAGTCCTTTAGCTTCCAGCAGAAGGGGAGGACCCCTCCTACCATGTAAATCAAGAGGCTCTTCCCCCTGCTTCTTCAAAAAGGAGGCTCCCTACTATTGTCACTCCTGGTGAGGGGATGGACCTACAAAGGTGCCACGCATATGCTGCTTTTATCAACCTCTGTTACACCAGTAGACACCCAGCTCTTCTGAAAACAGTCCCGGGTAACTCACAACTTACTGGTGCACCTAGAGTAGAAAAGTAAAGCAAAACTCAGCATTGTGTCTCTAAAGCCAGCAGAATCACCCAAAACCACAGGGGCCACGTTCACCACTGTGGCTGTTTTCACTGCAAGTTTAAATAGCAGGACTAATACCCAGTATGCAAAGCTATACTTGAATTACTAATGCCTAGTCAATACTACGCTCACCTGTGTGAATGGCTAGGTCTTCTGGAGGCATATTCCACAATTCTGTGCACTGAAATAACATCAAGCAGCTCAATGCAATTTGCCTGGTCAAGTGTTGGAGAAGTTTGCTATCCTTTATGGTTGCACAGAATAATGGGAAGATACTGGAAAAATAGCAACATTTACCTGGTGCTAGCCTGCACTCACCTAGGTATGTTTGGGTACATGTGTGATGGTTCTCTAGTGCCTAAGTTGACAGGGAATTCTGGGAGAACTTAAGTGTTTCTGAACTCAAGGGGAATTGAGGAAAAGTGTGGAGGAGTATCAGTACTAAAAGTTGTTTAGCCTGCACCCAACACTAAGAACGGGTGAGTTAAAATCTCAGTGGATGCAACCTCCAAGCCAATGCACAGCTCAAACACATCAAACCACTTTGGCCAGGAGAGAGTACACACACATGGGTGCTGACAGACATGGGAAAAAAACAGTGCTTTAACAAAAGAGGGGACATATCAGTTTGATCCAGCTCCCTAACATCTTTATAGCTCTCACACTTCAGTGGACTTTGGTGCTTTTACCTAATAGTGGATTGAATCAGCTGTATCCAATAGCTGATTCAATCCACTAGGTCAAACTGACACTATTCCTCCTTTGGACACATGCTGCGCTCAGTGCAGGGACATACTGAGCTGAAAGTAAAGTGCTGTTTTGGGTTTTTTCCCACATCTGTAAAGCACCCTTTGTGTTCAGAAGTGACACTTACAAAAGAGCACGACTAAACTGCAAAGGACAGACTGAAGGGAAAAAAAGGCCATCTAAAGGAAGCTGTGAGCAAATTATTCAAGACTTAATCATCCCAAAACCCATGACAGGTTTCCAAGGGCATGTGCTATAATCACTCTATTCTCCATTTCTGATTACAAGCTGTAATGCATCTGGAAAAAACTTCAGGATAATAAAGCACAAAGTTATGCATGCTCAGCCATACATGACAGAGGAAGAAACAGGAGTATATTGTAGAGAATGGCTAATGCTCACCCTGCATAATAGGGAGAGATGCAACAAGATTCTTTTAAAAATTCCAGGATTGTCCTACGATGCAGAATCTGATCACTTTTACAGTAAAGTGTCCCTAGCTTAGTGCAGCTTAGTACACTAGAGAGCTCAATGCATGGAGAAAAGTTACAATACTGCTCATATAAGACTGGCAAAAGTCAACCAGAGTGAACAGGAGGCCCACAGTTAACTTTACTCTCTTATGTCATTCTTCCTTATGATTTGTACTAATTAATTTTAAAAACTCTCCTTCAAATACAAAACAAATTCCTTCTTTCTGGACTTGAGCCCAAGGATAAGATTCCCCTCTGGTGCAAACTGAGGTAGCTCTGTTGAAATCAATGAAGTCACTAGCCGAGAATCTAATACAATTGTTCTCATTAAACAAGCATCAGCACTCTAAGAGGAAGCATCTCTTAAACAACTGGCCACAAGAACTCAGGCCGAGACTCTTGACCCTGTCTTGAGCCCTCCACAGATTAAAGAATCAGCTCTGCTTGCTTTTTGTATGTATAATATATGATATGGAAAATTTAAACTAAAGTACCATGCAAGTTATTGGCACAACAAACAGAATGACACTAGAGACTACCACTGGCTCTGAAGGATTGCATGAAAAAAAGTAAGTGACTTGCCATATTTCTATAAAACAACATGTTCTGTATGAATCCATTCCCTCCCCAAGGTCACACTCAATTTCACCACAGCCTGACTGAGTAATCCAGAGGTTTGGTTTATAGGACTTAGGTAGTCAATCATTTACTTTAGACAAATATTTTATTCCCCCATCCCCAACCTCATCCTGTATTTTGTTCAGATCTGGGCAAAAATTTTGTGAACTCATATGACCCCGACTTGGGAGATGGCTGATCTCCAATAAAACGAATTGGCTGTTTTGTAACATTCTGACATGCCCCTTATTCCATGCCCTGTCCTGTTACATGCATTGCAATGACACTTTAAACCTTTTTGCTGGTATGTTATTTGTGTTTCTCATATCGGAGGGCTATGACCCTCATTTATAGAATATTCAGAATCGTCTAGAAATATAAGACTAACAAAGTTTGAAGTTTGCTGGTACCAGTGAAAGAGGCTGGGCTCAGTTTCTGCCTCTTACATCACATTTCCCTGGGTGCAACATTACTGGCTTCAGTGCAATAAGGAATCCTGCCAACAGGAATGAAAATCAAGTCCAATTTATCCTGCTGAACTAAGTACAGAATAGTGAGTGGCCTTTTTGGTTCACAAATGGCCAATCCAGCCTGAAGCTTCATAGTTTCATAGATTTAGGGTCGGAAGGGACCTAGTAGATCTTCTAGCCCGACCCCCCGCCAGGGCGGGAGAACAACAAAACCCCAAAACAAAAAACGGGACTCAAATGAGTCCAGCCAGGTAGGCATCCAGCCTCTTCTTAAAGACCCCCAGGGTAGGGGCCAGCACCACTTCCCTTGGAAGTTGGTTCCAGCTCCTAGCCGCCCTAACTGTGAAGTAGTTTTTGCGGATGTCCAATCTATACCTCCTCTCCATCAACTTGTGCCCATTACTCCTTGTTATGCCAGCGGGCGCTAGGGGAAACAGCGTCTCCCCCAAACCCTTCTGGTCCCCCCTAGTGAGTTTATAGACGGTCACCAGGTCCCCCCTCAGCCTTCTCTTGTGGAGGCTGAATAGGTTCAGGTCCCGCAGTCTCTCACTGTAGGGTCTGCCCTGTTGTCCCCGGATCATGCGGGTGGCCCTCCTCTGGACCCTCTCAATGTTGTCCACATCCCTCTTGAGTATTGTGTCCAGTTCTGTGCGCCCTATTTCCAGCTGTGGCCTGACCAGTGTCCCATAGAGGGGGAGGACCTCCTTGGCTCTACTCGAGATGCACCTGAGGATGCACGACAAGGTCCGGTTAGCCCTGCCAACCATGACCTCGCATTGTCGGCCCATGTTCATCTTGGAGTCAATAATGACTCCAAGATCTCTTTCTGCCTCCGTGCTCTCAAGTAGGGAGTTCCCCATTGTGTAAGTGTGCTGCTGGTTCCTACTGCCCAAGTGCAACACCCTGCACTTGTCCGTATTGAAACGCATCCTGTTCCTGTTAGCCCACCCCTGTAACCTATCCAGATCCTTCTGCAATCTCTCACTCCCTGCTAGCGTGCTCACCTCCCCCCAAATTTTGGTGTCATCAGCAAATTTAAACAGCTGTTTAAGTGTGTTAACTTTAACAAGTACCCTTTAAAATTTATACCCCATTATTAAAATACAATAAAAGCTGTGCCATCCAGCACTTTATTAACTGGCATACTTTATTAATCAGCATGCCAACTAACATTGCAAAAGCGCAACTGGAAGTCCTACCGTGGCACTTCCAGTTTCACTGAGTCCCACAGCCCGGGGCAAAGCAGCCTGTGTGGGGCCCCCCTTCCTGTCCCCCAGCACGCTGACACCAGGGCATGAAAGCTCTGGGGCACCAGAAGCAGTGGGAGGGGCGGCGGCCCGAACAGACCCCTCTCAGATAACCAGCATATTTGATTAACCAGCACCCCCCATTCCCTCTGGATGCCAGATAACACAGCTTTTGCTGTACTTCATTATTGAAGTTAATACTCCATTATTAAAAACTGGGATAGATTTCCAGCCTAACTCAATAATGTAGTAAAGGAGTAATAAAATAACATCACTGGTGCATAGGAGTAAAAATGATGTTTTATTTACATTTTAAAATACAATTAAAAAAAAAGTGTGTGTGGTCTAACAAGTTTACACGTAAGCAAGCAAAGGTAAAAAAGACAACTTGATCAACAAAATGTTGCTGGATAGGTGTCTATTTGATTTGACAGACATTCAGTATAGGAAATATTTACTCGTTGTTTTTAAAAGCAGTGATTTAATACACATGTACATCACAGCATACAGTTCAATGAAGGCATTTTTTCTTTCCACCTGATCTACTTGGACTTATGTCCTTTGGATACATTCTTCCTTTTGTTTTTGTAGACAGGGGAACACAGGAAGTCTGTGCTTGTAAATGGATCACCACGCCTCAATTTGCTGAAAAACAACAAGTCAAATGGTTATGGTCTTGGTCTTAGTTAGTATATATGTAAGTTTTACTATTAAAGCTATTTTTGGTTTGGAGATTTGCTTCCCGTCTTAACTTAATAGCTAAATTAGTAAAAGCCAAAAGTTTCATATCGATATAGCTTATCCCGCCTCCAAAATAGGAATACCTATGTCTATAAAGAGTTTTATAATGGCAACTGCATCCAAACAGGAGGCTGTAGAGGTATAACCCCCTAGCAAGGCAAGGCCTTCCACAGAAAGCTATGAATATAAAACAGAGCTATCCTCAAAGTGGTAAAATGTTGCCCACAATAATGACAGAGGGATTGTGTTTCACAATATAGGGAAATCAGCAGCCATTGCTTGCTTTGTGTACTCTGATGCACCCACAGAAATGTCAGTATCAAACCTTTAAAGTCTTCTTCTGACAGAGGGTACACACATGTATTCTCCACAACAACTTGACTGAAAATAGGATTTGTATCTTTATTATAAATACACATAAATGTTTGTCTAAGAATATTAAGTATAAATATTATTTTCTACTAATAGGTCTAGTATATTTATGAAACTGAATACTTGCCTCATGACTGACTGAACATCACAGCTCAAATATCTCTTACCCAAAGGAATGTGTGCAAATGCAGTTTTAGTCTAATTTTAAAAAATAATGAATCTTGGCAGGCAATAAAAGTAATTATAGTAGCAGAAGTGGGTGCTAGACATTCCCCTGGCACAGTACGTCATCGGATTTGCTAACAGGTTCCCGTGCAAGCCTGTGGCCTAAACTCAATATGGTCAATGTGGTACAAGCAAGTGGAGGCCAGAAATATCGAAAGGATGAGTGCTGAAGATTAAGCTATGCAGTCACCTGGGAAGGGCCCAGGCCTGCAGACTCGCACAGAGACTCTCGCTCAGCCTCCCATTGGTTTCAAAGGGATCCCAGGCAGGCTGGAGGATCTATCTAGGCAGATTTCTGTGAGATCAGGTCCTACGACATATACATATTTCAGGGATCCGTTTATTTTTGTTGCGTTAACATTCTTTCTCTATGTTTCTTGGAGGCGAGATGAGGGGGGAGCAGAGCCATTCCAAACATTAGGAATAATGGTTCTGCATGTATATAAGAAAAGCCCATTTCCTCACGTACCCAATTCCAAAACAAAGTTTAGGGAAGAGGTAGCTTGTAGGATAAACAAATACCAACCTATTGAGCTTTGGTTCTTTATAACAAGCTGGATCCCGCCTCTGTCTACTCGGACGTGCTGAAGCTTCTTCAGAGCTACCAGACAATAAAAAACTGGTGTTGGTCAGCTCCTGCAACACTCTGATCTCTGTCAAGATAGTTACATTTGAAAAGAAGTTATTCAATTGTTACAAATCACTGACTGAACCCCAAGATACTATTTGCACATATGAGAAGAGAAAAATTAGCTTCTTGCCAGAATTCTTCAAATGTTGATGTAGCACCATTCTCTTCTGTGGGCTAATACAGCATCCATAACTACTCTCTCCTATCTAAAACCAGATTCTTCAAAATCCAGTTTATTGATAATTTTTTATTGAAGTAACTGCCTCCAGTCTCCAATCAGTGCTAAAGCCCATTGGATTAGGCTTGGCCATGCAACTAATTCTTACTTTACAGAATTTACAAGTTAAAAGAGATAGTAAGCAGGTAAAAGAGGAACAACTACACTAAAGGTGTTTATGGCATCAAAGCTATCTGGGATAATTCCAATGCTACATGCTTAATCTGAGGGAAACTGCAGCATTTCCTAAAAAGCTTATATAGTAAAATAAGCTAATGGACAAGATACGATCATAAAAACACTTTCTAATATTCATTAACAAGCTTCAATATTTGTGTTATAAGCGTTAGAGTACACATACAGGCTTTACAACATGGTAGATAATGCCTATAGTTAGGGAGAATACAACATACTAAATCCATTCTCAGAGGCAGAAAAAAAACTAACACCTACAAAGTTCCCATATTGCTACAACTCAGCTCTTTGCATCCATCAGCTCCTCTGATAGTTCCATCAACCCCCGATGTGCAGTGTTGTAGTACAGTTAGAGAAGGAGTCAAGGGTCACATCTACACAAAACGTTTAGTGGGCAGTTGAATAATTAACTGTGCAGTAAACATCTCAGTGTCTACATGTGTGTCAGGGTGCATGAAACTAATAAACTCCACAGCAGGGTATTTGTATTTACAAGTCCTACCCTGCTGTGGAATTTTTTCCACGCAGAGCAGCACACCCATAGATGTTGAGCTGGCTGGCTGGGGCACAAGGGTGCTTTAGTGCCAAGGCTGCCTGCCACCCTCATGCCCATCCCCTTTGCAGCACACTAAGCTGAGACGGGGCAGCCCTGGGCTGGCAGATTGACCCCCCTGGGTCCTGTGCCAACTGGGGCTGTAGTGACCTGGCTCAATGTCCTACCAGCCAGGCGCATGTGTAAACTGCATGCCAGGGAGCAATAAACTGTGGTGCAATAAGCAAAACAATGTTTTTTGGAGCAATAAGCTCCATAGTTTATTGCTGTCCCCTAATGGCACATGTAGAGGCACCCAAGTAGAGATAAGTCCCTTGAGCATGTTTTCCCAACCCACAAAAAACACTTACATTAACCTTACTAAAATTGCAATTTTGATGCGTTCCAAAGCAAGGTGGCAACAAAATATTTCCATGATCAAAGAGATCTCTCCAAAGGGTTGGATTATTGATGCATATGAAGTCTATGTGTAGTGATGTAACAAGCAGAGTTGGCACCTGAGGCATGTGCTGCAGGTGAGCAGGGGGCCAGGGCATGGGCTGCAGGTGCAGTAGCCTTACCCAGGCTGGGAACTCCTAAGCAGTCCCCAGCTGAGTGGTTGTTATTTCTGCTGCATGCTCTGCCTGCCCTGGTTGTTGCTCTTAAAGATCTTAAAGAGTTCTTGACATAGGTGTAGTGCTGGGGTGTAGTCTTTGCAGGAGTAGGGGGCAAGACCAGCACCCATTCTAACTTGGAACCCAGGGCAGATGTCCACATAACCCAATGGTATTTAGGCTACTGTCTATGAGGCAAAAAAAGAATCATTCAAGTGGTCACTATGTGGAAGGTGCTCTCCTATCTATCACTCTAGGATGAAGGTTTAAAAAATGCTTAGCCATGATTAAGCCCATCCCACTGACTTTCATAAAAGCAAAGCTAAAGGGCTGTTGCTACTGAAGCTAACTTTTGCTCTGCCCCTAGAGGAGTAAGCATATATCAGAACATGTTGCCCTGAAAGCACAAGGCCCCCCCTGAAAACCATTAGATAAGCCAGTAAAAGTGCTCTTCTGTTGGCATAGATACATCCAAGCCAGTGATTCTGCTGGCAGGAGGGTATGATCTTCTCACAACTCTTAACTATACTGTCAGGAAAAAAAAATAAATAAAAAATCTCATGTAAACCAGAGCTCAGGCTGCTACAAGTCACATTTTTCCCTATTCCATAACTTAGCTGTTAAAACAAGCCCCAACACAAGTTACACTAACTTGAGCCCCATCATACACAAAAACCCTAACCTGCATGCAGTATTTTTTTTCCTTTAGTTTGCTATTCCAGAATGGACCACCATTAGAGTCTGGATCTGAATTGGGGCCTGAGGTGAGTTTGACGCACCTGTCTTCAGGCAGGAGCTACAACAAGATCTAAACCTCCAACAGCAAATCTCAGTGCCTCTAATTATCTATTCTTTGCCAAAACAATGCAAATAAATTAGAGCCAGTTCTCAGACATACAAGAGCTGCTTGAGTAAGCAACATTGTTTAAAGTAGTGGTTTTCAACTGGGGCTCTGCAAGAGCCCCCAAGGGTGCCACAGCAACAGTGTTCAGTGCTTCACATGCTCCTACATTAGGACTTTCTGGTCAGCTTAAAACAGGCAGGAGCTGTCTCATGCTGTACAGCTCTTTCTGTTACCCGTTTGCCCCCACATCTCCAGGAAACAGGCATGGATGAAACTGTCCCATCTGCTTCTGTTTCCTGGAGTGGGGTTCCCAACCTTTTTTATATGGCAGACTAGAAAACTCACTCAAAGAATTTTGGCAGACCAGGTATAGAAACAATCTAGTTTACATATTTAAATGTATAGATATTTGAATATGTAAATGTTTAAATACGTGCATTTGTAAATAATTAAATTTTGTACCTGGGTGTGAGCACCAGAAGACCCTGCAGGGGAGAGGGCTGCACAGGCAGTGGCCCAAAGCGATCCAGCTAGGGCTGCCTGGGAAGAAGGGGCACCGCTGCCTTTCCTAGGAGCAAGCAGCGGAGCCGCCTCCCTGTCCTGGGCATTTCCCTACCTGCATCTCCCCACTCACAGGAGGCAGGAGTGGGGCAGGGCACACAGAGCTGGCTGCCCACCTCCCAGGGCTGCCCTACTAGCCAGCTTTAACCCTGCAAGTGACTGCCAGCAGGAAACTGCTTGCCGGGGCGAACAGACAGGGGGTCCAAGCAGGGGGTCCAAGCAGGGCCCAGTACTGGGCTGCAGCCCGATGGTTGGGAACTGCTGTCCTGCAGCAATTGGGGTGCCAGACCAGGAAGAGCTCCACCGCACAAGACAGCTCCTGCCTGCTTCAAACTGATCAGAAAGCCCTCATGCAGGCAGAACAAACACACATGGCACAACACTTCCCAGGCAGCCTGTGCACCACAGTTGCACATCCCTTCCCAGCAGCCAAACCCAGCTGAGAAGCACCCAGGTAAGCCGAGGTAGCACCAAAAGTGGTTCTCAGCTAGGGATGCTGCTGCAATCAAAAAAAGTGGTGGTGGGGTGTCCTGACCCTGAAAAAGTCAAGAACCACTGGTTTAAAGACATTTCAGATGAACAGACATGCCTACAGTTCCCAAAACAGGAAGAGATGCAAAAAGAACAAACGCCTACAATGGTCCTCAGCTTTTTCTTTAACTGCAAACAGTATCCAGAAATTCTAGCAAAAATACAAGTAAATTCCCAAGTAACTTAAGCCAAACAAAGATGCAGTAAACATTTATGGATGGGGTGATCCTAAATCTCCCATTGTGACACTCTGCTCCTTCCCTGCTCAGCTGATCGCACGGACGAGCTCAGAGGATGCACTGAAGATCAAAGGGGAGTGTAGAAGGGAGCACCAGAGATCAGTCTTTTTTTTTTTTTTTTTTAAAAACACATTTTCTGGGCCTCCTGCTGAATAACAAAAGTCACTCATTTGATTAAACTGATGGGATACCTGGGACAAGAGTTTGAAGTGGGACTATTTTAGTGAAAATGAGATGTTTGGTCAGCCTATTTATGGGCTAAGGACCTATTTATAGATTAGGATTCTAAACCTACTGACTGGAAAGGCTTCACATCAGCCCCAAGCTTTGTACAACCCTTCTTTAATGTCATTAGTACTCGACAGTAGATGCAGGTCAAAACGGCCCTACTGTGCCTCTCCATTTCCTGGAGACACCATGCAGGGCTAGCGCTGGAAGCAGCTACAGCATAGATCAGTGGCTGTATAGCATGGATCTATACAGCTGGAAGCAGCTACAGCATAGATCAAGTCTGAGGATAGGATTCCTCTCTCTTATGGACCCAGGGGACCCATGCTTGCCTCTCCTTTCCAGCAACAAGGAGAAGGAAGGAGAGGAGAAAACCTCCAAAGGAGGCAACTCCACACTCTGAACAGGCTGAACAAGCTAAGCAGACCCAGAGAAAGAAACGTTGAGTGATCGTCATAGGTGACTCCATCCCGAGAGGTACAGAGGGTCCCATCTGTTGCCAGGACCCCTCGATACGCGAGGTCTACTGCCTGCCCGGAGCAAAGATTCGGGATGTGATGGGGATGATCCGGGCCATTACCCGGCCCACCCATGGTCCTAATCCATGTGGGCACTAATGATGCAGCCAGGAGAAGCCCTGATCACCTGATGACAGACTACCACACTCTGGGGGGCGTGCTGAAGGAGATAGGGGCATAGGTGGTATTCTCTTCTGTCCTACCAGTGAGCAGACGTGGAAGATGACATGAGACCTGCATCAGAGAGGTCAACTGTGACTTTGAGAATGGTGTCTCGAGGCGGGCTTCGGCTTCCTAGACAACGACCCACACATCAGGACAAGAGACATGCTCTGGTGGGATGGGCTTCACCCTCCCCCCAAAGGTAAGTGTGTGTTCTCTTCTAGGTTGTCTGATCTCCTCTGGCGGACTTTAAACTAGGCTTGTCAGGGGAAGGGGAAGACGAGGGCAGAGGAAGCTCTGGACCACTAAACCAAGCGTCACCCACAAGAACAGCCCAGCCTAGACCGACGACGAGCAAAACAAATACCCAGGTAAGCAACA